CACTTTTTGGGTAGTTAAAAACCTTGAATGAAAAAGATTTCTTAGCAAAATTTTTCCAGACATTGCCAGGAAGTGGGGGTTAAGTGAATGTACTCCCTGGCCATTTTTACACACCCAACCCCCCTTCCCATTAAAACCCCAAAACCCTTCCCCATTTGTGGTTTACTTCTATATTCCCCTCTTCCCCTCTCCCCTTTCCCGGGAACAAACACTTTGGCTACTGTTTTGTTTTCTTTTCCATCAAAAAAGAGGGGAAAAAATGTTTGAAATGTTCCTTAATGTGAACTTTTACCCAGGCCCCTTTTAATCTACTGAAGGTACTGTACTGTACCTATTTTCCCTGGTAGTGCCCATTGTTGCAACATTGTGAGTTGCTGCATGGGGCATAGGGCATTGAAAAGGCAGGAAAAAATTAAATCCCACTACACCCAAAAATTTTGGTTTAAATTAAATTTGGAAATGATACTTTATATTTTTGTCGGTGGGAATGTGTAGGTTTGTCTTCTGCATCTGTAAAATTAGGTCCAGCCTCTTTGAGTATGGTAACATGAAATTTTTTTGTCCAAACTCCCCACACATTTTTTCTCATCCTTTGAATTTTATGTTTTTTTGGTTTTCCCCGGGCCTTATTTGTTCATAAGTGTAGGTGTTCAGAAGAATTAATTTTTTTGATACAGTGGAATAGGTTTCTGCATTTATTTAATTTTTTATGCAGTGGATATCCATTTTTAAATGAGGTTTAATTTTTATTAGTTTATTGATTTTTTTGGTCAAAATTTTCACAACTAAATTTTTATAAAATGGTTTTTTATTTTTGAGGGGTTCCCCTTTTCTCTGGGCAAATTCTGGGAAAGTAACCCTATTTTGAAAAGTTTTTAATTTCCTTTTTTTGCTCTGTTGGATTTTGGGCGTGAAATTTTTAAATTTTTTAAAAGGGAGCCCGTTTGTCCACAAATTACGGTTGCCCTTCGTACTTTGGTCTTCCCTTTAGGGTTGAAGGGGTCGAGGGAAAAGTGCCAAAAAGAATAACAATTTTCCACAGTGCAGATCCTTCAAATAAAGATGAATGAAGCCGGAACTGCGGTGGGCCAATTAAATGGTAAAATTTTCATTTTTTTATTTTTTTACGGTTTTACAGGGATGTATTTTTTTGGTTAGGTAAACAAGGTTTAGTTGAGCAAAGTGTTTTTTAAAAGTTATTCTGATCCAAACAATCTTTTGTTGCAACTTCTACAGTTTATATATGTAGGGAGTAGGTTTTGGGAGGGCAGCAACCAAACCGAGAGGGTCTACCGTCCCGCCCCAAATGAGTGTAAAAAGAAAGCCTGTAATTGTTTTCATGAGGTTGGGGTTTCCCGGGGGTCTTTTGTCTGTCTCATAAATATGCAAAATTACAGATACGTTTGTACTTCACTTACAATTAGGTCACACTACACATACATGTACAAATTTTATTTTTTCACACTCATCTGGTTTTCTTTGATTTTATTTATAGTTCTTGGTCTTATTACTTTTCCCTTTTAAATCCATGGGGAAGTGGAAAAAAGAAACTTTCCCCCGTAAGCCTTTTGGGGTTGTAAAAGTCCAAAATTTAAAAATTTGGGGGAAAAAATGGGCTTGTAACCCCTTTTTCCTTAAAAATTACTAAAAAAAATTGAAAAAAGAAAAAATTTTCAAATGGGGAAATTGATGTTTTGTGGGTGTTGTGCCAATGATAAAAAAAGAGTTTATTGTGGATGTTTTGAATGGAAGAAGTGGTGTCCTGGCTTTAAGTGAAACAAAGCTGAAAAGGGGGTGGGAGAGTTTCAATGGAGAGGAATAAATGGGTTTAGGTAAAGGGGGGCCAAATAGAGTTAGAGGGTAAAGAAAGGGGTAGCAATAATGTTGAAGGGGTAAGCTATGGCAGGGAAAAAAAGGGGGTACAAAAGTATTAATTCAAAGGAAATTTTGTGGAAATAAAATAAAAATTGGATGTGAAAAATGGGTTATAGTAAGCGTGTATGCACCTTTGGGGGAAAAGAGGGAAATTTTAGAGAGGGGGAGAGAGAGACTTTGGGAAATGTTGAGTGAATGCGGGGAGTTTTGAAATTTAAGTGTGAGAGTTTTGGGGTTTTGGGGGTTTCAATGTAAAGTGGGTTAAAAAAAGTTATGGGGGGGGTAGTAGGTAAATTTGGGGGAACCCGGGGTAAATGTAAATGGGGAGCCCTTTTAAATTTGGTATGTGGGAGAAAAAGATTTGGTAAATAAGTTTAAAATATATTTTAGAAGAAGAGGATAAATTTAAAAATCAAGGTAAAGATGTAGCAGTAAAGAAAGTAGTTGGGTTTGATTATGTATTGGTGGGGTAAAAGGTTGGGTGGGTTAAAGGGTCCAGGTTTTACCCTGTTTATAGAGGGGGCAACTGGGTAAAATGGGCATTATTTTGTTGTAAACTTTCAGTTAGAGTAAGAGGTAGATGGGGGAAAAAAGGAAAGGGGGAAAAAACAAGTAAGGGGAGGTGAGAGTGTTAAACTAAGGGGGGAGGAAGTTGGGTGAGATATAAACGGGTGTTGGCAGAAAAGGTTTGGGGTGGTGAAAGAGATAGTGGGGGGGGGGGTGAAGAGGGGTTGGGAAAAGTTTTAAAAAGCAGTTTTAGAATGTGGGGAAAAATTTTTTTGGTTATAGGAGGGTGGGGGGAGGAGGAAAAAAGGAGTGATTGGGGGAATGATGAAATAAAGGGGGGTTGGGTAAAAAAGAAAAAGGTAGTTATGAGAGGGTTTTTACAAAGCAAAAAGTGTTTTTAAGAAGGCCCGAGTATATGGAGAGTAAAAGAAAGGTGAAGAGAGTGGTGAGAGAGTGCAAAAGGAGAGCAGATGATGGAGTGGGAGAGGCACTGTCAAGAAATTTTAATGAAAATAAGAAAAAATTTTGGAGTGAGTTAAACAAGTTAAGAAAGCCTAGGGAAAGTATGGATTTGTCAGTTAAAAACAGAGTAGGGGAGTTAGTAGATGGGGAGATGGAGGTATTAGGTAGATGGCGAGAATATTTTGAGGAACTTTTAAATGTTGAGGAAGAAAGGGAGGCGGTAATTTCATGCACTGGCCAGGGAGGTATACCATCTTTTAGGAGTGAAGAGCAGAATGTAAGTGTGGGGGAGGTACGTGAGGCATTACGTAGAATGAAAGGGGGTAAAGCAGCTGGAACTGATGGGATCATGACAGAAATGTTAAAAGCAGGGGGAAATATAGTGTTGGAGTGGTTGGTACTTTTGTTTAATAAATGTATGAAAGAGGGGAAGGTACCTAGGGATTGGTGGAGAGCATGTATAGTCCCTTTATATAAAGGGAAAGGGGACAAAAGAGATTGTAAAAATTATAGAGGAATAAGTTTACTGAGTATACCAGGAAAAGTGTATGGTAGGGTTATAATTGAAAGAATTAGAGGTAAGACAGAATGTAGGATTGCGGATGAGCAAGGAGGTTTCAGAGTGGGTAGGGGATGTGTAGATCAAGTGTTTACATTGAAGCATATATGTGAACAGTATTTAGATAAAGGTAGGGAAGTTTTTATTGCATTTATGGATTTAGAAAAGGCATATGATAGAGTGGATAGAGGAGCAATGTGGCAGATGTTGCAAGTATATGGAGTAGGTGGTAAGTTACTAAATGCTGTTAAGAGTTTTTATGAGGATAGTGAGGCTCAGGTTAGAGTGTGTAGAAGAGAGGGAAAATACTTCCCCGTAAAAGTAGGTCTTAGACAGGGATGTGTAATGTCACCATGGTTGTTTAATATATTTATAGATGGGGTTGTAAAAAAAGTAAATGCTAGGGAGAGGGGTGGGATTAAATTATGGGGAATCAAATTCAAAATGGGAATTGTCACAGTTACTTTTTGCTGATGATACTGTGCTTATGGGAGATTCTAAAGAAAAATTGCAAAGGTTAGTGGATGAGTTTGGGAATGCATGTAAAGGTAGAAAGTTGAAAGTGAACATAGAAAAGAGTAAGGTGATGAGGGTATCAAATGATTTAAATAAAGAAAAATTTGATATCAAATTGGGGAGGAGTAGTATGGAAGAAGTGAATGTTTTCAGATACTTGGGAGTTGACGTGTCGGCGGATGGATTTATGAAGGATGAGGTTAATCATAGAATTGATGAGGGAAAAAAGTTGAGTGGTGCGTTGAGGTATATGTGGAGTCAAAAAACGTTATCTATGGAGGCAAAGAAGGGAATGTATGGAAGTGTAGTAGTACCAACACTCTTATATGGGTGTGAAGCTTGGGTGGTAAATGCAGCAGCGAGGAGACGGTTGGAGGCAGTGGAGATGTCCTGTCTAAGGGCAATGTGTGGTGTAAATATTATGCAGAAAATTTGGAGTGTGGAAATTAGGAGAAGGTGTGGAGTTAATAAAAGTATTAGTCAGAGGGCAGAAGAGGGGTTGTTGAGGTGGTTTGGTCATTTAGAGAGAATGGATCAAAGTAGAATGACATGGAAAGCATATAAATCTATAGGGGAAGGAAGGCGGGGTAGGGGTCGTCCTCGAAAGGGTTGGAGAGAGGGGGTAAAGGAGGTTTTGTGGGCGAGGGGCTTGGACTTCCAGCAAGCGTGCGTGAGTGTGTTAGATAGAGTGAACGGAGACAAATGGTACTTGGGACCTGACGATCTGTTGGAGTGTGAGCAGGGTAATATTTAGTGAAGGGATTCAGGGAAACCGGTTATTTTCGTATAGTCGTACTTGAGTCCTGGAAATGGGAAGTACAATGCCTGCACTTTAAAGGAGGGGTTTGGGATATTGGCAGTTTGGAGGGATATGTTGTGTATCTTTATATGTATATGCTTCTAAACTGTTGTATTTTGAGCACCTCTGCAAAAACAGTGATAATGTGTGAGTGTGGTGAAAGTGTTGAATAATGATGAAAGTATTTTCTTTTTGGGTTTTTCTTTCTTTTTTGGGTCACCCTGCCTCGGTGGGAGACTGCCGACTTCTTTAAAAAAAAAAAAAGTATAATTTAAAATTATAGTTTTGAAGTTACAATTTTTTTTCCTTCCAGCTGCAAGATACAGCCAAGAGATGGTGGAATTTATGAAGGAGAAGGAAATAAATCCAATGAAGAATTTAATTGTTCCTCTAGCCCAGGTAAGCACCAGCCACATTTTCTGTTGTTTCTGCAGTTTTGTTAAGTTGTGTTGGCTGTCTTTACATTTGTAGTTTGCCTTTATTACCATATTATTTGTTTTTATTGTAAAATTTTTAGGTATTTGATGCTTATAGTTAAAATTTGATTAGGTTCATATGCCATAAAGGTCACAGTTTTACAAATCAGTGTTTGTATGTCATTTAAACGGAGAGAGAATAAGGAAAGAGATTAAAAGAACCAACCATACACCACTGATCTAAATATACAGGCTGCAGTATAATGCAGCGGAGCTTTAAGATAAGCTCAAGTGTGGACCATCACTGTGCACAACAAGTGTGCTTTCACTGTTTATAAAATAACAACCAGAGACTGGAATTCCTGGTTTATGTACTTAGGTTTCTTGCAGAGAGGCACATGCAGAGAACAACTTCAATTCAATTCAAGTGTATTCTCTATAAGGGTTACAATGTGGGGTTTACAGGTTTTGGGTATTGTTTGGTTTACATGTTACAAAATACTAATTACAGAGGGGGCCACTAGGACACCTATCATGGCTAGGCATTTTGAGCAGACTTAGATTAATTCTTAACATTAAATCCTTACAGATTAAGGTATTACGGCTAAGTGACTACATCATAATTTATGAGTTTAGCAATGCGAATGCTTTTGTTTGGTAAAAAATGTATGGGTATAGTTTTCCCAAACGCTTTTTATAGGGGTGTGAAGCAGGGTATATGTTGAAGCGGGAAAGGCTGGAGGCAGGGGGATGTCATGCGGGGGGGCAATGTGGGTGTAAAAATGCAAGAAATTCTATTTGGAAATTTAGGAGGGTGGGTAAAAAAAACTGTTGTCCAAGGGCGGGGGAAGGTTTGTTGAGGGGTTCGGACATGAGAGAAATGGAGCAAAACAAATGACTTCAAGAGTGTATCAGTCAAGGGGAAGGAAGCAGGGTGGGGTTGGGCCTGGGAAAAGGGTTTGGGAGGGGGGGTAAAGGGGTTTTGTGTGCGAGGGGTTTGGGATTTACGTGGGCATGCGTGAGCGTGTTTGATAGGAGTAAGGGGAGACAAAATTTTTTTAATACTTACATCTTTTGGATGTGAGCAAAGTAACATTTATAAGGGATTCAAAAAACCCGGGCGGGCGGGTTTGAGTCCGGGAAGGGGAACACAGTCCTGACTCTGAAGGAGGGGTGTTAAAATTTTGCAGTTTAAAAACTGAGTGAAAGCACCCTTCTGGCAAACGGGATGGAGGAATGAGGTGAAAGTTTTTTTTTTTCGGGCCACCCTCCCTTTGGGGGGAATTGGGCCAGTACAAGGAAAATTTATGACATTTTAGGATTTTTTATTTAAGATTAAGTTTAAAATTTTCGGGTTTATAGTCGGGGGTAATGATTGTAATTGTGAACCACCAGGGGGTTATCATTAGTTTTTGTCGGGTGGATCAGGGAGATAAAAAGTTTCTAACGAGTTTTGAAATGATGAATGTGTCGCATTTTTGGGTTTTTCAGTAGGGTGTTCCAATTTAGGCCCTTTGGGAATACATTAAATTTTTCGAAAGGTTAGTCGAACACGGGAATGTCAAGAGTTTTGTGCGTTTTTATGCCTGGACCTGCAAACATCAAAAAAAGTTTTTTGGGTAAAGGTTAAATTTTGTTTTTAAAGGCCGTAGATATAGATTCACAATAGAAAGTGGGGATGTTCTGACAGGGAGTAATTTAAAATCATAAGAGGGGGGGGGGATGCCAGGGGGGATTTAGTGATTATTCTTCTGGGGTTTTTTTTTTGGGTTTATTTTTGGGCTTTAGGTGTGTTGCTGCAGTAAAACCCCAAACACATATGCATAGGTGAGGTAGGATAATAAGTGAATGGTAAGTGTAGGGCATTTCGCGAACGTACATCATACTGGAAGGGGATCCCCACTTTTTGGATACTTTTTTTGTTATGTGTTGGATAGGGGTGCTGAAATTTGGGTTGTTGTCGGGAATGGCCAAGGGAATTTGCCCTCATTATGTCTGGCAATTAATGTTGTCGACTTAAGTTAATTGCGAAACACCCGCTCTGCCGTTTTTCCATGTAAGTGTAATTTATTGCTGTCACCCAAAGTCATTTTTTTGAGCGCTCCTGTTAACAATGGTGTTAGGGGGCAAGATTAGGGTGGAGAGACATAAGTCGTTCACGCAAAGAGAAGGGGTTTTCAGGTTGGGATATTTTTGAAAATCATTGAGAATAGGAAGACAGGCCAAGGGACACTTCCCGGGGAAACTCCAGTATCAAGTGGCTGTTTTGATGGGGGCTGTCTTTAAGGGTGACATACTTACCTATTAAAAGGTGGTTTAAAAAAACAAGCCATGGCCTTTTAAACCCATAGGGGTCAAGTTTGGGGATGGATCCCCGGGCTACGGTCCAAACGCTTTTCTTAGGTCCATAAAATTCCTAGGGGAATTCCTTTTTTTCCAATGCTGTTAAAGCGGGTCTAGCATTTTTATAATTCATCTTAGTGTTTTTATTTTCCTGAACCCAAAATTTGGCGGGGGTTTGAGTATGTTTTGTACTTTAAATGAATAACAGGGGGCCCCCCCCCGCAAACGATTACCCCAAGGGCCCAAATTTAGTAAGGTGATTTATGAAGTGCTTTACGTGTAGTTTGGGGGGGTCTGAAATGGCTAATCTACTTCAAATATTTTTTAGGGGAACAAATTCGGTCAACGGCACCTGAACATACTTCTGGAGTAAAAAAAAAACTAACCGGGGGTCCCTTACTCCTGAGCACAGTTTCTCAAAGATTTTGGAAAGAAAGGAAATTTTTGATATTGGCCAACATGTATTTTTTTTACGCTTAGGTCACCACCTTTATTATTTTGTTAACCCCTTCTTCTAGTATGTCGGAAAAATGCTATTTTCTAGTGCTGTTAAAGGTAATGAAATAGCAGCAAAAGGGCATGGGCCCTCGCTTGTACAATAATGGTGGGGGGAGACAGACCCCCGATTTAATTTTTTTAAGTGACAGGGTCGCGGGCTTCCGGGGCTCATTTGGTAAAAGAAAAAAGGGAAATTTTTAAAAATTTCCCACTAGGTATCCCAAAGGGGGCATGGTACTGGGTTTTTAACTGGCAGTTTAGATCCTATGCGAGAAAAATCTTTCTTGTTAGCTGTATCAGGGATGTATGGGTTTTTATAAGGTTTAGTTAGAAAAATATTTTTTGTTTTTTTTCAGTTTTTGGGGCCCCAAATCTGGGAAAGTGTTTTTCCGGGCTTTTAATCTCCCTTGTGCTTTTAATCTGCTGGAGTAGTACAGTTGTTTTTGGGTTTCTTTATTAAATTTTGGGAAACGTTGAAATTGTTTGAGATATCTTTGTGTATTTAACCGTCTATATTTCTTTTCATATTGGGGGTTTTTTATCAAAGGATTTCAGAATCGCTGGTTTTGCCATGGGGACCAAGCCTTTATTCTGATCTTTTTTTTTTTTTTAGGGCAATGTTTGTTGTATATCTAAGATTTTGTTAAAAAAATGTCTGTCCCAATCGTCAATACCATTGGCATTGGGGAATTCGTAGGCCAGTCAACAGTCTCTAGGTCTGCTGTAAATTCCCCTTTTTGAGGGCCCCGTCATGGGCCCAAATGAAAAATTTTTGTATTCGAGGGTGGGTTACTAATGTTTGTTAAAAGGGAAAGGGTTTGGGGAGTGGTCATACGCTTTCTGATTATTCCCCGATTTAAGGGGGGTATATATTGTCCATATGTGGGCTATTTTGGTTGCCTTTTCTCCGTCACCGGTTCATTTATTATTTGTATGAAATTGTTTTCATATTTTTTGAGAAATCATTTTTTTGATCATCTGGTAGGCCAAGTTAATTTAAATCTCCACTAAGAGAAGGGGTGCTTTTTCATTTTCTGTTTTTATTAGTACTTTAGATTCTCACTGAAGTTTGGGGTGTTTGTTGGGGGATCCGGGATATGGCACCGATTTTATAGGCTCTTAGGTTTTTTTTCACAAAATTAGCAAAAAAGTATTCCCCATATTCTCATAAAGCAATTAATGCTAAACAAGAAGTTGGTTAGAGAATAGATTGCAGTACCACCCCCCAAATTGGGATGGTCTGCAGTTGTGGATTCTGTGTATCCGGGATGGGGAGATTCAATTGTGTCCTTTCTAAGCCAGGCTCATAAAAAATGCAGGAAAGGGGCTTTTGTGACTGAGGAGTGCCAGGGGGTCTCTAGTGTTTGCTTAAGGACCGATGTTTTAGTTAAGAACTGATAACTTTGACAGTGTTCAGGATATGGGCTTTGATGCGTGTAATAAAGGCAGTTACTTTCCAAAATTTTGATTTGTGTTGATTATGGAGGTTTTGATCAGGGCAACTGATCATTCATCTTTTTGGTTTTTAAAAGTGGTTGTTTTATCCTGTATATGTGGGAGTCTAAACTGATTTCTGTTGTGGGGGGGGAGGTTTGGATAAATATATCGCTAAAGCACTTTGGGGCAATAGAGAATACTAATAAACAAATGAAATTGATATTGTCTGTGTTGTGCTGAATATTTAAGTACAACTAGGTATAACTAATACTAGAAAAAAAAACAAATTACAATGGCACCAGCCGCTCTTTAATTGCACTAAGGGCTAATATAATGAATTTAGTGTTGCCGTGTATTTAGCTAGAAAACTAAATACAACTAGGTATAAACTTTTTTTTTTTTTTTTTTATCCACTGGCCATTCCCACCAAAGGGAGGGGCCCGAAAAAAAAAACTTTTCCCCCCATCATTTACTCCATCACTGTCTGCCCAAAAGGGGGCTTTACCTACAGTTTTTTTTAAACTCAAAAATTTAAAACCCCCCTCCAAATGCACACGTACTTCCATCTCCAGGACTCAAGGGCCCCCGGTTTTCCCCAACCCCTTCAAAATGTCCTTTGCTCACACTCCCCAAAAAGCACGTCAAGTATTAAAAACCTTTTGTCTCCATTCACTCCTATCAAACACGCTCACGCATGCCTGCTGG